GGCCTACTACTACGTCCCCACTAAGCAGCCGTTGTCGTGGCGGACATCGCTGATCCAACATGAAGCCTGAAGATTCCGCCTTGCTGTATGCGCATAAACTAATGCTGTCGAACCGCAGCAGCAGTAGCCGCAGCAGTAGCCGCACAGCAGCAGCAGCAGCCAACAACAAACAATAGCAGCAGCATCAGCAGCATCAGCAGCAGCAACAGCAGCAGCAGCAGCAGCAACAACAACAGGCAGCAGCAGCAGCAGTGAGCCCGTGACGCGAGCGCCACCTACGTGGTTGACGTCGTCGTCTGCCGGCGCGTCGTCCTCAACCGGGATGAGCTCGGTGTTGCGTGGATTGTCGAGCTGCAGGAACGCCTTCACATCCGCACTGCAGAAATGCCAACACATATATGAAGCGATCTGTAGTTTCTGGCCATCAAATTAGTAGTTTGAGGTGACCCGAGTTTGCTAGGGGGGCCGGCACGCCCCCCGGAAAATTTTTTGATTCTGAAATGCAATTTCCTGCATTCTGGGGGTCAAAAATGACAATAAATTGACAAAAATGACAATTAACAAAAAAAAAATGTTCGATCACGTAATTCGTAGTTTGATACAAACTGGTCGTAGTGGTGCAAAAGGAATAGAAATTCGTATTAAATACGGATAAATCGTAGTGGTTGGCATCTCTGGCACTGAAACATCGAGGGTTAGGGAAAAACATCACTTTCACATTTCATTCCCCTAGGAGATCGCTAGGTGGTCATTCAGCAGTAGAACTAATCAAGGTCGCATAGACAACCGATCAATGACCTTGCAAAACAGAACAGGGAAGAACAAAACATGTCGCTGAGATAGCGCCTTCGCTACTCACTTGTTGAACAGTACCGGGGAGCTAACCAGCTTCTGTATGAAGTCGTTGAGGCCCTCCCGGCGATGCCTGATGAACGACGGATCGAAGTTGTTCCCAAAGAATTTCTTGCCTGGCAGTTTGAGACCTGCGTCTGGGAATTGCTTTTTCAGCTGCAGAAACGAAAGGTTGGAGATGCATCGGGCCTCACGGGACACATTTATGGGGCGATTTAATCTAGCAGACGAACAGACATGCAAGCTGCTAACACACGCTGTGTACCGCTTGAGTCCTGTACATGCATTGCGATGATAGACAAATTCGATGGGTAATCAACTGTGAAAAAAGAAAAGAAAAAAAGACACGCACAAACCGTAAGAAATATGCATGCTACGGCAGAATAAGCTTTACTGTAGAGGTGCAAGAGTGGTAGACTTAACTTAGGTGAGAAGGATCTACGTGGGGGCAAAAAGAACCTGGGCCGCGTTTCACTAACGTTCGCTAAAAGTTATTCGTTAACCGACGAAAGTTGTTTGTCCGCTAAATAGCGAACGAAGGCATACCGAACAACTTACCGAATAACTTTACCGATCAACTTTACCGAACAACGCGTTTCACTAACGCTTCGCTTAGAGATTGGTTGATAATTCTCTATATTACGTATTTTCCCTTATACCGGCTATTTTTCCTCTATGTTAGTCATGCTTAGCTCCAATAAGAGATTGGTTGATAATTCTCTATATTACGTATTTTTCCTTGTACCAGCTCATTTCCCTATATGTCATGCTAGTAGTTCCTAACCTGCCTTCAGGTGCTACAAATAACCTCTGGAGCACACTAGGGGTCTTTCTTAAGAAATATAATGTAGAATATAATTTACTTTTGGTTACTTACCTTACCAAAGCTGCCTTTGCCAATCACCTTCAAGAATTCAAATTCACTCGGCTTTACCCTGTAGAACAAAAAGACTATATTACTGTTGTAAAGTACAAGATTACTCTCATTTTCAGGACACTGCTATGAAAGTAAAATATTTCTACCGATTCCTACCACTGCTTATAAAAGCGAAATTATAAATACATCTTTCATAAACTGGTTATTTTTCAATAATGAGAGATCCCCATTTGTTTATTGAAAATGATCTAGATTTGGTTTCTGTTACATTAGAAACACAGAAAGAAACCCTGGAAGAGGCGTTTTCGAACGCCATACACTTACTGAGTGTTTTCTGTTTGTCCGAGATCAAAAAGATGCTTGCTTTCATTCTGAAATGACAAAAAAATAATCAATTACAATTTCACTCTGAAATGTTACATACATCATAGCCAGAGTAGTTCAACACACACACACATCCAACCATGGAATGTTGAACAGAAAGATTTCCATATTTTATTAACTGTCAAGAAAAGGATTGGGGAGGATCAAGAGATTTTAATTTTCGAAAAAAAAAGAAAAAAAAATTTTACTATTCAAATGGATATAATTTTCACAGCTATATTTAGCTGAAAATTAAGCCTGGCGCACACAAGCCGGTTTTCATTAGGCCAAAACAAAATATATGTGCGATTACCGTTACATGCCGAAAAATTGGGCAGGTAGGTAGGGAAAACATTTTCTTGAAATATTTTATTTACGAAACATGTCCGAAGGATGTACGTTGTGCCTTTTGAAGCAGGAACTGTCCAATTCATTTTTTATTTTTTTTATTATTTTTTTTACTTTAAAGAAAATTTCCAATGAAATGTTTAGGGTCGCTGGGAATAAATAGGGTCGGTCAGGAAACCGTAACCACACCTATATTTTGTTTTGGCCTTACCAGTGTGGCGTTTTAAAATTGCTGTGACATTTTGTCAGTGTGATTGATGGTTGCACACTACCACTACCCCTCCCACTACTGTTGTTGCTGCTGCTA